GGATGTAATACTTACTGGATTCGAGTGTAAATAGCTCAAAATCATCCGTTGGATTTGTGATGAGAACCTCAGTCCCTGCTTTGCACTTCTCGTTCGTTTTGTTCTTCTTCTTGCTAGACTCTAGTGCATATTTTTTAGCCGGTTTCTTTTTGTTACCGGCCTTGCTCTTTCCCTCTTTTCTCCTGTGGGTGTTATCTGCATGGGCGCATCTATCGATTATATCGAATCACTTCTGAGCAGAAGTAATCCATCTTGTTGCCAACTCCTGAGTGGTGTAACGATCTCGGATGCTTGATTTGAATGCGCTTATGACAAAGGCATCAGTGATTTCAGGGATCGTATTCTCGCATTCATTGAATCGTCATATATAGTCCATCAAAGATTCATCTGGATTCTGAGTTAGAGTGTGGAGGTCGTCCTCGACCGCGTGACATTTGTATGTCCCTTGGAAGTTGGCGACAAATTGCTGCCATAGAACCCCCAGGAAGAGATTGAGCAAGGCGGTTAACCAATTTGGCGGCACCAATACCCAATCGTATAGGTGTCGATTAACCAATTTGGATCGTATAGGTGCCGATTAACCAATTTGGCGGCACCAATACCCAATCGTATAGGTGTCGGTTCTTACCCCACAACTGGCAACTTTTCCATGTTTCATGGATTTAAAAAAGGGCTTGATGTAGCTTCCTGTGGCATCAATCTAACAATCCAATTGACATCGATCTAACACAGTAGCAGTGGCAAATCAATGCATCAACACAATACAAAATTCACAACCAACCAAGAAAAGTGAAGAAAAGATCCAACGACGCTCCCGCTGGCAGCGGATGGCGGTGTCCCACTCACAGCCGACGTCCCTTGGCCACTAGCAGCCTCCCTTGGCCAACCTCTGCTGTCGCCGTCGCCTCCCCTAGCCACAGTCGCCACCGCACGTCGTTGCCGCCCCTGCCTCACGTCGCCCCAACCAACCCCGTCATCCCAACCATCCCCTCCCCCTCCAAGAGATATGGCGCATCCAGCCAGATCTACACACTACCGGTGGGAGGCCGACGGAGAGGGAGGGGAATAGGGGAGTAAAAGAGGGGAGGCCGCCCATCGGGCACCATTGATCGCCGGCCGGGAGAAGGAAGCGGCTAGAGAGGAGGGCCGTGGAGGAGGAGGCAACGCCTCAATCGCCTCCGCCATCACCACCGCTGCCGACTCCGCCCGCCACCTCGCAACAGAGATGTGGGGAGGTGGATGGATAAGGCTGGGTTAATGAGGATATTGGATAAAGGCGCTGGCTCGATCGGTTCGGCTCGGGTGCCAGTTTTTGAACCTATAGAGCCAATACTATATGTGTCAGTTTTTATCTAGATTCGGCACATATAATAGAAGTATAGGTCCTGGACTATGCCCGAAAAACAAACTTTGTTTCAAATATTAATTACTTGTATTAAACCCATCTTTATTTTAAGTTTTTCATTAAGACGATGTTAAGTGAGTAAACACCGACATAAAAATTCAAATTAGATACGACTCTTGTGTTCCCTTACACATCATAGCCATCCAACTGTTCGTATGGTCTACATGTTTTTACTAAATAACATTACGGAAAATGCTTAATAACATTACAGAAAATGCATCAGTTAATTATTATCTCATCGGTCTCGATTATTTGCCGAAATTATCACATTAGTATGATCAAATAAAATGCAGATATAAACCACAATGAGCAAAGGTTTCCATTTCTTCAGCTCATTTCCAAATCTTTAGGGTATCTCAAGCTCCTTTCCATGTCGACGGGAGTGCCTGGGCTGCATCATCATTCTGCGCTCTGGAGAAGATTTAACATCAGAAAGAGGCCGGGGTTTAGACACAAGTAAAATGTCAAACACATTTATGCAAAAAGAAAATGTGTTTTTGGTGCATTTTCTGCTATATATGTCATGACTGTTTTGAGTGATATATTAGGGAGGGAAAACATATTGATAGCCTACCTCCGGCTTCAATGAGCCTCTCTATCCGTGCAACGACATGCTTTGCATAGGTGCAGTTGCGGAGCTGCCTGTGGTGCATCCTCAGGTATCTTGCGTTGCCACTCGTCACAGGTCACAATTACCTTTTGCACAACGTAATTAGCATATTGGTCACTCACCAGAACCTGCATTAATTAATTGACCAGAAATTCATTAAGATACACATACTTAAGACCGGGTTCATAAGCTAAAACAAAGGTTGTGAATCAGTTCAATGGAGCATTTGTGTAATAGACATAATTTGACTAGTGTAGTAAACATTAATTTCAGGACCAGTGTTATAAACATAATGGGTTTTATGTTTTTTTCTCTTTCGACTTAACTCTTTTATGATAACTTTAGGTTTTGTTCATTTCTATGTATATATTAAGTTTTGTTCAGTTTCACCACTTTTGATGAGGTCAGCCGTGGTTAGGACCTCATTAATAATCTTCTGGGTTTCATCATAGCTACCAAAGACCAAGCTCTTTTCAATGACATTAGAAGCGTACTTTTGCTTGCTCATGGTCACAATTTTCCCAATAAATATGTTTATAATTAAAGATCGCACAAGGGCTTTCCCATGCTGCAAAATGTGCTACAAAGAGAAAATTCAAACAATAACTAAATGGGAATTAATGAAGAACTGGCACGAAAAGATAGGTAGAATTAATGGGCTTTCCTAATAATGTAGAATTTATGCATAGATGTAATGAATAGTGAACAACATCAACAAGGTAATTATACTATAAGCTATAGCTGACTTACACAACATAGTTAGCGTATTGGTCTTTTGCCATGTAGTAGACATCCTCTGTAATCTCTTCGAGAAAAATCTCCTGTATTGGATCATCAAGTACTCCAAAACTCTCTGAAAATGAAAAGACAACGAAGAAAGTCTATCGGTTTGTTGACTCCATGCTAAATAAATATTGCAATTTAATTAACCAAAAAAGTAAGGAATCAAACATGGACAACACGGCATCCATATGGATGAACTGATAACTCGACAACATGGCCATACATGTCCTCTAGAAAGAACTGTATGAATTGTGGTGGCGCATGCTCAATGCATTTTTGGACAACATGGTTTGCATTTTGATCATGTATACATTTCATGATATCATTATTGAGCTCCGTGGTAATCTGAATCTTCTGGTCTAGATCACCAAGTTCTACAGCCTACATAAGAAAGCAAGATGCAAGAAAATTAATGAGTTATCGGCATTAGCTTAATTATATGTTTTACAAACACAAGTATGAGATACAATGAAGAACAAGCTAAAGATAATGGCATAGCTTTATTTCAAATAATATATAGCTGCAGAAAATTTGGAACACAATGCTTCGTGTATATAATGAAAATTAGTCCTAACAATGGAGAGTAGTCTTGTTCCTTCGAAAAATATCACTACCTTTACTATCTCTTATTTCCAATAACTTTTTTGCAACTAAACTTCCCTTCTCCACATATACTATATATATCATGGTACTGCTTTTTTTAATGGGTTAATTGGATCTATGCCACGCGAATTGTGGCAAATCAAAAAAATGCCACACCTATTCCGGAATCCGGGTGCATGCCACTACTATTTCGTCAAATTGGAACCATGCCACAATGTACGCCCTGCGCGCGCTTTGCCACCGTTTTAGGGTACCGTATTTTCGTATGGACGTTTCTGCCCTCGTGTTCACGTGTGCTTAGACCAGCTCCGGTCCGGCTCGAACAGCCCGGTCGCCATTCGTTCCCCACACCGAAACCCTAGCTTCTTGGAGGTGGCGCAGGCAACGGCGCCGGCGCAATCGACGGCGGCGGAAGGCGGCGGAGCAGGGCGGCGGCACAGGCTACGGCGACAGAGGGTGGCGTCGCAGGCGGCGGCGCAGGCTTTGGCGCCGGAGCAGGGCGGCGGCGCAGGCGAAGGCGGTGGCGGAGCAGGGCGGCGGTGGAGGCTACGACGGCCGAAGGCGGTGGCGCCGGAGCTCCTAGCGACGGCGCAGGCGACCGGCGGCGAGTACGACCTGGCGCGACGGCAAGGCGACGATGGAATCACCTCCTTCCTGGCGCGACGGCAAGGCGACGATGGAATCACCTTCTTCCATCCCCACGCTGAAGTGTGCTTGCGGTGCCTCCGCCACTGTGCAGATTTCGAACACGCCAAGGAATCCTCGACGCCGGTGGCTACAATGCGGCAATTCGGTAAGAACTAGCTTAGTTTCGTTGGTTTCATTTCGGTGTCTTAATTCTTAGTTGTTTGCTTAGGGCTGTTGCTTCTTATGGATATGGGAAGACCTGCTGAATGAGTATGCTGAGGAGATGGTTGCGTACTGTCACGCCAGCGAGTACGATCATATGCAAGAAACAACCGACATTCTTCGCCAATATTTAGATGATGAGAAGAATGAAAAAGCGAAGATTTGTGAGGTCCTTGATGCAAAGGAAAATGAGTTGAAGTCAACAATTGAGACGCTCAACCAGTGTAGGCTGGAGTGTTTAGCGATGAAGAAGCAGTTGGAAGAAGTTAAATTTAGCCGTGCTAGACTTCTATACCTTACCTTAGTGATCACTGTCTTATTTGCTTGCTTAATGGTAGGTAGAAATTAGATGGGAAAAAAATGGATGTATTGTCAACAAGTGTATTTTGGATTGGAAATATGGATGTATTGTCATGTATTGTCCTGTGTATGTACTGTGGTGACCTATATGAATGAAAGAGTATGTTTCAGAAGAAAGTATGTGTATGTGCAGTGCTGAACAATATGAATGAAAGTGTATGTTTGAGAAGAAAGTAGTGAATTGTTACAATAATAGAACCATAAAATTTGCAGATTCCTGGGAAAAATTGTCAGATTCCTGTATAGAATCAGTGCCATGCAGACAATTGTCCATCACAAATTTTCAGCAAAGAGATCATTGGTGCATTCCATAATTTCAGTTTACAGCACAGAAATCTTTACAAAAGAAGAGAGCACATGAGTACAGTAAATTTTCAGCAAAAGAGATCATTGATGCATTCCATAATTTCAGTTTTCAGGCTCAACATATGCATACAACAGTACAGACATACATGAGCAACATTACTGGTTCATAGCAGCCTTACTAGCAAAATACTTAAGAGATGGGGCAGGCTACATTGTCACTGCAAATAGGTTACTACAAGTTCACAGGCACACATGCATTACAAGTTCATCACAGCCATTGGCAATTAGCAAAATACTTAGAAAGGAGGCAGCTGGCATTACAGTCGAAGATAGGTAGATAGGCTCCTAACTACTCTAGTTGGTGGTGCACTTGAGGATGCTAGGTCTTTCCTCTTCTGGGGAGTCTTCTTATTTTTTGGTGTCTTTTTTTTCCTAGGTGTTTTTTTCTTCTTTGGTGCAGAGCAGCTTGCTTCACTTGTTGACACTCCTGGATCATTTCCTTGCCTGCACACTTGTCTCTTCCTACAAAAAAGTGAGAATTTTTAGACTATATGGCAAGCATACAAGCCTGAATCTTAGTGACTACAACATAGCACAATATATCAGGAGTGTAACTAACAATAATTATCAAGTTGGGTTTTTTTATCAAGTTGGAGTTAAAGAACACAAACCGCTTGCACAAAGACTAATTAAGAATGGAAGCACAATGACAGCAATATACCGTTTTTGGGGGGTGCAGTGGCTGCTCATATCATCTGCATCTGCAGGTTCATAAACCTTCAGGACAACCAATAGCTCTATTCAATTGTTTCATAAACCACAACCAGTTGTCATCAGTTTCCAAATCAAAAATTGCATATGATACATAAAACAGCCAGTTGTGACCATCTACAGAGGTGGCTGAAGCTAACTGTCTAGTGTATTTTCCAGTCAACTTAGTTGAGTCTACACCCACATATGGCCTACACCCTTGCAAAAAGCCATCTATACATGGTTTTAGAGCTACAAACAAACGCTTGAAGCACATTTTATTTCCTAACTTCTCCAATTCAATTTCAACTATACTACCTGGACACTTCCTCTCAATTTCAGCCTTCCAATTGAAAAGCAACTGAAAATTTTCCTCATATTTACCATGTATCTGTTCTAGTGCTAACTTCATACCTGATCATGCCTTTGAATACTTCAACTTGATCTCATACTGTTATTGCAGCTTCCCCCTTGCATCCTTAGCACCCTTCTTTGGATTGTTCTTCAACCAATCACCAAGCCTATCAGCAACCCAGCCCTGTGTAGCCATCTTGCCCTCTCTTAGTTTGGTAGATGCACATTTGTGTTCAAAGGGAAGAACTGTAATCTGCATGACATGACATGGTGATAAAAAGTTACTAAAACTAACACTACTTTCAGGAGATGAAAAAATAAATTAACTAAAATAATACATTTATACCTTAATTGTTTTCTTATCATGGATTAGGGAAGCACTTATTCTCCATGGACAGCCTTCAGCGCGACAGGTTGCAATGAATCTTGTTTTATCTGTCTTCAAATCAGCAAACTCAAAACCTTTCTTAATTGCATAATGCCTAACTGCTTTTCTAAAAGATATCATGTCAGGGAATAGAGCATTCTTCACTATATTTGGATTCTCTGGATCATGCAACACTCTAACAACCTGAGGGTCTTCATCAGTGACTTCTACCTCAGGAGCTTCAACCCCTGTGGCAGCAGTCTGAAAGGATTGACCACCAACCCCTATGGCAGCAGGCTGAGAGGATTGGCCACCAAACCCTGTGGTAGCAGGCTGAGAGGATTGGCCAGAGGTGTCAGGTGGCTGAGTAGGTTTTGGAGGCAGATACAACTGCTCATCATTAACACCAACATATTCTTCCTCATTATCAAACATGTCAGGCTTTCTAACATCTGCTTCCACTGTTGTAGGCTGTGCAGAACCTCCAACATTAATAGCAGCTTGTCCAGAACCATCATTGTGGCAAGGGTTCTCAGGTGGGATGATAGCAATGGGCTCATGCACACAACACACAGAAGCAACATCCATGCCTTCCTCAAGAACTGCTACAAGTAGGTGGAAACTGGCCTCGGTTGCATACATCTCGAAAATATCTGGAAAATCAGTGTCCCCTATGAGCCTAACATCCTCACCCAAATTTTTGTTAAAACACCACACTGAGGGAGACTGGTTCGAGCCCCACTTAAACTCAACCCTCAAACTTTCCATTAGGAAATCAAATGAAAAACTCTCTGAATCGATTACCCAATGCCCAGTGCCTCCTTTACTTATGATTTTCCTACCATCAGCATCTACTGTCGCATAGGGTTGCACCCTAACATCGACTGAAAACCAATGCCTACCAATGAATGACAAAACAATAACTCAAATCGCACATACAAAGTTCAAATCGAAACTCAAATCGCAATTTTATCTGCATAAAGAGTTCATGGGGGAAGGTACTCACGGTTTGGAAGCAACCCGTACAAGGGATTCGCCCAAATACATTGCCAACGCGGTGGGGGATGCAGGCGTAGGCCCCTGTGCACTCATCCTCCCATCGGCGAAGGTCCTCCCCTTCGGCCGTCGTAGCCTCCGCTGCCGGCCTGCTCCACCGCCGCCCTGCTCCGCCGCCTTCGCCTGCGCCGCCGCCCTGCTCCGACACAGAAGCCTGCGCCGCCGCCCTCCATCGCCTGCGACGCCGCCCTCCGTCGCCGTAGCCTGCACCGCCGCCCTGCTCCGCCGCCTTCCGCCGCCGTCGATTGCGCCGGCGCCGTTGCCTGCGCCGCCTCCAAGAAGCTAGGGTTTCAGCGTGGGGAACGAATGGTGACCGGGCTGTTCGAGCCAGACCGGAGCTGGTCTAAGCACACGTGAACACGAGGGCAGAAACGTCCATACGAAAATACGGTACCCTAAAACGGTGGCAAAGCGCGCGCAAGGCGTACATTGTGGCATGGTTCCAATTTGACGAAATAGTAGTGGCATGCACCCGGATTCCAGAATAGGTGTGGCATTTTTTTGATTTTCCACAATTCGCGTGGCATGGATCCAATTAACCCTTTTTTAATCCAAAGTTGGTTGATCATTTTTTTTACTGATGGTGGAGACTCAACTTCCCTAAACATCCTATAATCCCTATATTCCCACCTAGTCTATCCTACAAGCCATAATACCCTAGCCACTGCCTCCATCAACCACTCCTGCACTGCCTTGGACTACCTCACCAGCATTGAAGCTACTCCAGGAACCGGTGAAACTCTTTCCTGTTGCCACCTATTGTGTAAGAGACACATTTGATGCCAAAGTTGCCTACATTCTCCTGCATAATGCCTCCACCACCACCCTTCCACTATGTCTGCCATCTATCCATCTCAGGTTACTACTAGATCTGCCAAGTCGACCATATTGACACCCAACAGTAATCATCACCATCCACCACATGGCCACACCCACCCACCCTACTTTCTAGCTGAGGTGGCTACGGTGAAGGCCAACTCTTACCTGGTAAAGTTGTGTCCTAACTAATTGTCATCGATGGGGATGCATCAAGTGAAAGGTTGGACATAGCCATTCAAGGTGTCAAATTCGACCGATCCCCTTCCCTCCGACCCCCCCCCCTTTCCCTCTAAAGAAAATAATAGACTCTGATATAGATCTTGTGTACATGACACAAATCAGATATGCAATAGGTTGAAGTGATATTAGATATGGGAAATACACATTACCCTTTGGATTACCCTAGATCCATACATTTGATAGCTTATGCTTAAAACACTTCCAAGAAAGCATGTGGTAATTTTCCTCCTTTAAAATGAGGTAATGTGTATCTAGTAGAAAATGTAAAGCGTATAAGTGTGTGAATTTAGTAGTGTTTACCAAAATCATCAAAATTAAAAGAATTGCAATTAAAACCTTTTGTAGCACATAATTTCCATAGATATCCATCACCAATTCAATAGCATCAGGCATGATTTCTTCAAAGACCATGAATTTCTCTTCAGGTGTCGCATTTTGAAGCTTTTGTTGTATAAAGCGGCTCCCACACTAATCAATGCTAAAAAAGAAAATAGAAAAGAATAGCAAAATTTAACCATCGGGAAAAGTCTTGCATGCATGTGAATGCTTAGGAGGGTCTCGGCTGCAATCAAAGAGGACAAACCTGCATTGAAATAGATAGCGTTGTATGTGAAAAAGCCGATAATTCCCTTTGCTTAAACCACTAAACTTCCTTTGGAATAGCAGGGCATTTAGCTCCTTATTGTCCAACCTTTTGAGATAATCTCTGTGAGGGAAATCCACATAAGATCTTCTGAAACCTAATGTATCATTCTGATGAGCAAACCTTGGTGTACCATAGCATTGTGTTGGATACCTCTTGGCAATGGCATTTTCCTTTCCATATCAATACCGAAGCACCAATGCAACATATTCAAGACATGGGATGGAATAGGAGTAGGATGATAAAATGAAAGGAAGCATGCTTCTTGATCCCTTACTATTTCATTGAATTCCTTAGCTTTGTTCATCCTGATAGGAGTCTCAACATTGCTATGTAGCGCCTGTGCTTCAGATGCAACGATTTTCTTATGATGTCTCTCAAGGTGTCTATATTGTTTCCTCTGAGGTTGTTGTTAAGCAGTCAACATGTTCGAATTTGTAGCTTCATCTAGTCCATTTCTTGAACACATTGAGAACTCCATTCTTCAGAATCAAAGTATACTTGGCAGCTTTGTCTAGTGGCTTTAGATAGAGCATCTATGTCATAGGATTCCATTGCATGTGCTTCCATTCTCAGAGGCAAGGTGTAATTAGTATTGAATCCACTTGGTTCGTACATTGGAGAAAAACCAATACCCTGGTTATTAGGATCCTTATAGCCTAAACAATAACCCCTGGACATGGAAGAAAGATGATTTACTGACAAAGGACTGGGTACTGTCACAGAAGGGAAAGGAGGACCTATTATGGTAGATTGCTCAACTTGTTTTTCTACCCTGGTTAAACATCTCATTGCATCACTATTAAGTTGTAAGAATTCAGAGCATTTCTGGTGTAGAAAAGATGATATCCTTGGCAACTCAGGGTTCATGCCAAAATAGTGAGATGCAACATTTTCATGAAAACCAATTTGTCCATGAAGATTTTTATGTTTTAAATCATCTTTTCCTATCATTGTCCCACCCTGCAAGTTGATCTTTGGCAATGCACCAGAAATAACATCATTACTAGTTATGTGAGATGAGGATGGCTTGAACAGCTCCATCTAGAAATCACCAACAGATCTAATCCATAGGCTGCGGTTGTAGCTCCCATGTAGGGATATGTTTGATGGTTGTGTTGTAACCTGAGGAGCAAGTTGTCTGCAAACTGGTGACCAAAAGGTGAGTTTGTTTCTGCAACATTAGCATGCAGGAATGGTTGTGATGGTTGCCTTGCAGCCTGAAGAGCATACTAAATTTGTATATTGTTAGCTGAAGTCTGCTGATCCAAAGAGTAGTAGATTTCTAAAACATCAGCATGCACCATACCACTCATGGTGGGAGATTGGTTCCTTGCATTCCTGGCGGAAACAACAGTGTTGTGAGGCACGGACATTCTAGGGTTGTTATCCGCAACATTGTCAAATCCCTGAAGACTAGGAAAATTGTCCGCCAAATAAAAATTTTCTTGAGAGCATGGTTCTTTAACATAGAGTGTCATTGATGTTGATACATCTTTGATGATTGGTTGCGGTGAAGGTTGGATGCAATGTAACCTTGAATGGTACTCAGGATGTTCTAGCAACTGGTTCAACTTATTTGGGTGTAGTGAAGATAAACTGTAACTAGTACCATGTAAGACGGTAAATACAGGTTGGTACGGCTTTAACAAAAAGAGTGTTCACCATATTTTTCCCATCCTGCACTTTTTGTGGAACCCCTGTTGCAGTTAAATCGCCATCAGCATCATCCATATTCAGTCCTGAGCCAATTTCAAACCTCTGATAACCATCAATTTGCTTCTGAAGCTTCAGTTGGTTGTATTCATTATTTTCTTTAGCACTATTGGTTGATAAGTTCATCCCTGATGAAGTGCTAGAGATGCTACTAATATTGACTCCTTCAAAAAAAAAGATGGGGCATTGAATTTATCATGAGGATTACCGAGCCCAGTCAATTCATAAGGGTTCTTGCTCCCATACAAAGCTATATGTGATGGTTCTTCTACAATATCACAAGCAATTTGCATTTCTTGACCTGAATTTCGAATATATTTGACTTCTCCTGATGAGCTCACAATGTGTTGGGAAGATGAACTGTAATAACTAACACCTTGAGAAAAAGGACACACAGGGTTGTATGGATGAGCAGAAAGATCATTCACCATAAGTTGCTCAATCTGCTTTCCTGATTTGGCTAATGGACTCTTTTCACCTGATAAAACTCCAATAGCATCTTTGTTCAGTTCTAACCTAGATTCAGCGTTTCCATCAGCACTTATTTGTCTATGAAGCTTCAGATGGTTGGATCCAATGGCATCAGAGTTATGATTATAGAATCTTTCAGATGAGGATGGCTTGGCCAATATATATTGTGAATCCTGTAGTCCAAACATTTGACCAGAAATGCAGCTTCCATAAACAGCTTTGGATGGTTGCTCTTTTAGAGTCCCACAAGCAGGTTGGATCTCTGCTTTAGATTGGATATCCTGAGAAAAGTGCATGTCAGTCAATAGGTACCTTTTCATCTAAAGTAGATGTGCGTTCATCTCAGACATCCTGAGTAGGAAGGAGAAATGTTTTAATAGAAATGGATTGATGTAATTCTTTGCATAGATGACATGCAAAATATCAATGTTAAATAATCCCATAATCCAAATGGTTATTTTAATATATTGCACATTATTGTACTCTTGATTGCGGTAGAGATGCTGGAGTAGTTGCCATATTATGAAACAATGCATTGTATGAATATCATTTGATTAGATAGTAGATGAAAAAACTAGAATTAATATTTCTCACAAAAGGAAGAAATCCTAACGTTTTCATTAGTTGAACACAAGAACATTGTATAAATCAAGTCAGACAAACATATTAAGAAAGGTAAACAATACTATGACCATAATTTTCCCCTCTTGATAGAGATAAGGATATCTGGCACAACAAGAATAAGTAATAAATGTTTTGAATGGTCACAAGGTAATATGTTATTGGTGTATCTTCAAAATGTTATCTAGCAGGAATACAAATATGATGAATATAATTGAATAGCAATACTGTCAATGAAAATAATTGTTGATCATAGTGTAACAGACTCATAAGAAAAGAAATCAAATAAGGGGAAGTAGTTGTTATAATAATGAAAACAACAATAAATTAGCAACAAATCCTAGTACCATAACAGAAAAATAAGGATCTACTCCCTCCGGTTTCATTTTAATTGACGTTTTGGACAATAACACGGTCTACAAAATATATCTTTGATCTTATTTTTCTACTATAATATATATAATAAATAAATCTATATATGTTGTTCTAATTCCTTTAAACTAAATATTTTTAAAGTTATTGATGGTCAAAGTTATAAAAGTTTGACCTCAATCTTATCTTAAACGTCAATTAATATGGAACCGGAGGGATTATGTTCTCTAGCAAAGCTATATTTTCTTATATATCAGAGCCGGTATCTTTGCTAGTTACTAATTACTTGTCTCAAGACAATTTACAAGGATTGAGTAATCATCAGTCACCTGATATGTTGTTAAATCACAGACATCAAGGATTTTTTGTGATTCATGCAACAAATATAACACCTAGCCTTTCTCTCTCCTCCTGATCTCCGCAAAAACCACCCCACCGCCACTACTCCTTTCCACGATAAGACCTTGCCACGCCAGCACCACGAAGACACCGTCAAGATCCACCGGCCAAGCCCTCTCCACCACCTCCAACCTCCATCTCCCCCACTACTTCTACTGCTGTTGTCTCACTGCCATCCTCAACTTTGGTAGGAATCCCCTATCCTACCACTCCTACCTCACCTTTAGCTGCTCCGGTTACTAGATCAGCCACTGCCACCCCCTCCTGACGGCAAAAATGAGCCTCCCCACCACTAGCCCACAACCCTCTTTCTCTCCCGCGGTGGGGCGGCGGCCATAGCCTGGCCACCGCCCCACCGCTAGGCTTTCAGTCTAGAAGGAGATATGCTTCCTATTAAATAAAATACTTTGGAGGTTTGGACTTAGTACTACTTGATAGGAAAATGAGGGCAAAAAAAGTCATTTCGCATATCAAAAGAGGTGGACATGGACAGCTGGTATAGTCGTGAACAATCATGGTTTTCGCCTTTTGGGAACTTTTTGTGTGTCCAGCTTCCAATCCATCTGTATCCTATTTCTAAAGTGAAATGTAAATTGATGACAGTGCAAACTTATCTTTGACAAGGGCAATTTATCCTTTATTGCCTTCATGAAGGGCAATTTATCCTTTGTTGCAGTGCCCAGTGTCTTACCAATACAAACAACAGCAAACCACTATAGACATATCAAACCACTATAGACATGTTTTAATAGGTATTACTAGTTGATATACAAAATTAGATAAAACACCTTTGGAAACACAAATATATGATGAAATATATTAAGAAAGTTCTTATTTATGATATGAAATATTTAGTTAGTCATACTAATTATCACAACACTTTGGAATGATAAATTGGTTAGAGCCTTTCCTGTGGCAGACCACACAAAACAATTCCATCTATGCACCCACAAAGCAAGTACTCAATAGTATGTAATTAAATAGAATAAAAGGCACGTAAATAAGGGAACTGGGACCGAAAAGGAACAAACCATATGGTTTCCAGTTGCGGTAGCCAGAGGAGACGATTGGGAGTGGTCCACCCCATCCTCCTTTCCAGTGATGTCTGTCGACAGTGGTATGAGACCGGTGGGCTATGGCACGTAACCAATGCCACCCCCGCGCACAGCGCGCTTAGCAACTAAGTCCAACCTCTATCCCCTTTTGGCTCTGGCAATTTTTTCTGGGCCCATTTTGGACCAAAGTGTAATCACAAAGCAAGGCCCAAAGGCTTAGTAGCATTTTAAATATCTGGTGGAATTTTCATTTAGATACTTTGACGATTTATTGGGCTCTTGTGCCACTGCTCGATAGCCAAGAATCCTTAGATCTGGATCTCTTGGATAAATTAATTTATTCCTATTTTAGAGAAAATATAAAAGTATAAAACACTATAATTTAATTTAAAACCAAGTGTGCCAAACATGGCCTAAATGGTCCACAAATTGCACCAGATATTCCCATTCAAAAAGTGGTCAATGCATCCAGTACATTCTATTATTATGAACAATTGTATTTAAAAAATATAGACATATTATACTATACCCTGGGTATGTTATAGGTAAAACACACATGCAATGTTAGAAATTTTTTTACTGAGAGTGAAATCCTCACAAATTCCCCAATTAAGACGATTAGTAAAATTTGTACTATCATGTATTTGAAAACATATAACATATAGTAAAAAAGAACTATGTGAAGGACGTATTTTAGTTATTACGCTTACCCGATACGTTTTAGTGCGCCCCTTAATAAATATTTTTTTAATTTAAAGTACATATTTAATATATACACTCAATGTTAGTAATTTTTTTTACTGAGAGTGAAATCATCACAAATTCCCCTATTAAGCCTATTAGTAAAATTTGTGCTATCATGTATTTGAAAACATATAACATATAGTAAAAAAGTACTATGTGAAGGACGTGTTTTAGTTATTACGCTTTCTCGGTGCATTTTAGTGCATCCCTTAATAAATATTTTTTAAAATTTAAAGTACATATTTAATATACGGGTCCAAAAAAGAAAATAAATGAATTGAAGTAAAAAAATGAAGTACATGCCATACATAACATACATGTGACAACAGTCAAATATGCAACGCTGAAAAAAGGATAAAACTAGCACACATTAATTCATTCCAGTAGGAGTACATTACCTAGCTATAGCTGGCTACCTGACCACCTGTTTAATCGCATAGGTGATTAAAAAACAGCTAGCAGCACAATAAATCTGACAACACATCCAGCTAGCCAGCAAAAATTAACCACTAAGCAGATACATGCATGACCATGAATGCATCCATTGGTAGAACTCACCGTCGCCGGAGTATCCACGGTGGCGGCGCCGCCGCCGATTTCAGAAGCGAGATCATCCCATATCGCCTTGCCGCTGTCCTCGTCGTCGTCGACGTCGCTAGCTGCCGACGAAGCCAAGCGCGGTCATCATGTCCATCCGACCTAAGTCGATCGGGTAGAGACCTCCTACTTCGTGGTCAGCCATGGCGATGAATTTAATTTGAGCCGTATATATATGGCCCTAGCAAGCAAGCTTAGTTTGCCAAGAACAAGCAAAGGAACAAGCGTTAATTCGAAATTAATTAAATCTGTACAGGATTCGTTCAAAGAAAGAAGAAGGGCTACTCCAAATTGAAGATCTATAAAAACTTCCATTATCATGGACGAATACGAGCCACGGGGAACCGATTTTAGAGAAATCCATCTGCACATAGGTGTGTAAGCTGCTCGTAGAATAAGATTTCAACACGTGTGTCGTTAATCTATTACTCACAATAATTAATTAGTCACCTGGAAATTTTTGTTTCAGGAACGTAGAAGGTTCGTAGCACCCGAGATTTGAACTTCCAAGCTCCGTGCTGCTACTAAAATCCCAAACAAATCTAGTTGAACCTTTAATTAATCTCTTGACATGCTAATTAAGATAAACTTGATCCCGGCCTGTCAAACAAGCACATATGAAACAAGAAAATGCTTAATTATTCCAAAAAAAATAAAATCCTTACATGATTCTGCCAAAGAAACAAACCCCAAATCTAGAAAGCAAAACAGTCTGGCACCAAGATCAGCCCAAGAAGAAATCAGACCAGGTTGATTCTCCCCTCCCCCCTCCTCTTCGAAGAAGATCGATTTGGTGGTAAAATCTTAGAGCTCTTGTCAATCTCTCTCATAAGCGAGAGAAGTATGACGGTACCCAACGAGGTGGGCGTTGGTACGGCGATTTGAAGTGTGAAGACTCACAAGCAACCAGAGCATTTTAAGGCTGAATCACAAGGGTTAAGAAGGACGTATTCACCGTTTGATCTAAATCTCCATCAAACATACTAGATTGCCAATAGGCCTCTAGCCACACCCACATAGGGCTCAAATATTTGTTAATGGGTGCTACCTATGATTTGAGATGGATATGGTATAGCTATATGATGTTATTGTTTGTATTGTAGTTGATAAAACGAATATAGATATACTTAGACCATCTAAGACGTTTTTTTTCGACATTATTATTTCAAGCTTACAAAAACATAAGTTTGTGTCTATGTGAAAGTACTACAAGAAACAGTTATGTGTTCACTGGTGGAGAAAGCGTTTGTAGTCCCGGTTCGTAACCCCCCTTTAGTCCCGGTTTCCATACCAGGACTACCAATCCGGGACTAAAGATCGCTATCTTTAGTCCCGGGTGAAATAACCGGGACTAAAGATCGAACTGACCTTTTTTTTTTGCATGGTCCTGTTGCTGCATGGTTTATATATATATATATATATATAAACCATGCATATATATGTTTCAATACATATATATGCATATAATATATATATATATATATATTATATTTATATATGTTTCAATACATATATACATGCATAATATATATATGTATTTATACATATATATGTTATGCAAATGCATATGTGTGTGTGTGTGTGTGTATATATATATATATGAAAGCACTTAACATTTTTTGTGCATATATATATATATATATGACCAAAATATATATTTACATTAAAGAAAATGTGTACACATGCATATAGAAAAATAGACATGTATTAATTACAATCCATTATGATGTCCTAGCTAGCTATGATTTCGACGTAGTAGTAGTCGTTATCTCAGAAGCTAAGGACCTATGAATTGTATTTCCGTCATAGTAGAATTCACCCTTAGGATCAAGGATTTGTTCGTTGATGAATCCCATGAGTTGTTCTTGAACCGCCGCGATAAATTCCTTGTGTGTGATCAGGTTATCCCTCATGCGAATAAACTATATGAATGTATGAAATTAATTAGTAATTAAACAACAAATCGATACGTAATGAAATTTTGAATTTATTTGTACGTACATCGAGCTCTCTTGTGGTGATGATTTGGTCTGCAAGGCAGTGGCAATACTCGCACACGTAGTAGCCGCACAAGTTAGTTCCCTGCTTTTGCTTTGCGCACTATAAATAAATGACAAACGGCAAGAGATCTAATTAATATACACTTGTATGTATTTGAATTGGAGATTCAATATAAATGTAGAGCATGTGTACTCACAGGAAAATTGAACTTCCGCCTAAGTCTTTCTCTCCATTTGCCGTGGACGAAATGACGGAACTGATACCAAGCCCTACATGGAGTTTAAAGCTATGATTCGTAGTAGCAATTAACTATAACAAGATTCTTAATTAACATAGGAACTTATGACAGTACCTGTCTACAAGTTCGAAAACCTTGTCAAACGTAGACTCTTTTTTATCCATTGAGTCATGTACGTTGACGGTGCAGGCCTCCAGGTTGAAGAGTAAAAGCACCCAGTGGAATCTGCAATGTGCGTGGGATGCATTACCTATGAAACACTTAGCATGTTCGTACGGGAATGAAATTTGGTATAGGAAGACAGTAAAATTAAACTAACTCTGTGTTGTACGTCAACAATATGAACGTCTTGTAATACTGCGCCTTCAGGAGATGGATGAGATTGTCCTCTATGGCTTGCGGATACTGGTCGAGCATTGCGACGTTTACTTTCCGAGGGTCGATGAATCCAGTATCGAAAACCCCCCGCCGTTAGGCCCTTTGAATCTCCATTCTACAACGATAAAAGGGAGTATATATTATATATAGTGTACTTATATACAAGGACCTAATTAATTAAAGGAAACGTAATAAGAAATCTAACTGAACGATACTTACAAAATCCAGCAACTCATAATAGAGACGTCGAGGGCGTCCAGCTGGTATGGTTCGTAGATACCCTTGAAATTGATCCAGAGAATGTCATCTCCTGGCAAGAAGTCCGTGTCCCTGATCCTCGCTCTGATCATCTCTCTACCGGTGGCGCTC